TGAATGTAAGTCCTAAAGCATTGGTTTTGTTTCTGCAGTTAAAAGAAATAAAATTAAACTTTGACTAAATAACAACGTGGATTTAAAATAGAACAGTCTCTGTGTTTAAAACTGAAATGTTCTTCAATAAATAAGCAAGTATTAGAAGTGTTAGAAAGACAAAAATACGGCTGAATTTCTGAGCAGCAGCAGCTCTTACATTTTTTTAAAGAGAAATAATAAATACGCTCTTGTGATTATCACCCTATTTCTAATTTAAAAAACAAGGAGTTTTTCTTAGTTTTCCTAGTTTTTTCTTCCTAATTTTCATATTTCATAAAGAGATTTGCGCTTTCTAAAATTAAAATGCAGCTCCGCTAATAACCAATTATCTTCAAGTATTCATCACCTTGAACAGCTCAAGGTGTGGCTTTTTATTTAATCAGCAGTAGAACATCAACTGGTTTCATAGTAAAGGTGATTCCCCAAAGATTTTGTTATTTTCTTGAATAACAGATAGGACTTAGTGTCAGTGACAAACACCATGAGGAAACACAATATTACAACACCACCCTATCTGTCGTACGGAGAAATAAAACAGAGCTTTATCCTGTGATTAATTGTTCTACCTGGCATTCTAGACTATTTCAGTTTTAGATTTTTGTGTAGACCTATTTTACTTTGCTTTGGCATTACTGCGGCTTTTTAATAAATTTTGTAAACGTTATTTGAATCTTGTCTCCTTCTTCCAGTAGGACGGGCCTGTGTATCCTTTCACTGGTTAAAACTTATGATAGACTGGGTGAGTATTTATTTATTTTTTGTGAAAGAAGACCCACCCTAGGCCATCACAATTAGCGTTGTCGGTAGGATTCATTACTGTGAAGAGGAAGACCTAATTTTTTTGGTGTTTTATTATATTTTAATTTTTTCTTTTATTTTTCTCCTATTTTTTAAGTGGTATTGTTCTGTTTTGTGGACGAATTGTGTTCTGTGTTCAAGCAAAACAGCAGCGAGTCCATTTATCCTTAAAGGATCCTGACCATGGGGGATGACGTCCAAGCTTTGCGGGATTTGATTGCCCAGTTGAGAGCAGACAACGAACGATCACATCAAGAGCAGTCGCTTTCTGCCCCAGGTACTTCTGTTGCCCCCTCTACCTCAAGTGTATCCCAAATTGTTCCACCTGCTCCTTGTCCCCCTGGTCCAGAGAGGTTGGTGTTTGTGCCTCGTGACAGGAAATGTCCCATTTTCAGGGGAAGGTCAGGAATTGGATTAAATGAGTGGTTGGAAGAGGCTGAGGCCTTTATGAGGGCTCGTCATTTATCATCAGTGGATCAGGCTTTTTATTTGTATGATCATCTGGAAGTTGAAGCTCGAGAGGAGCTTAGATACCGTTCCAGTGCTGAACAGATTGATCCTGCTTGTGTTGTTGCAGTATTAAAAGGAGCTATATGGTTGTACTGACTCCTATGTCTCCTTGCAGGAGGCTTTCTTTTCTAGAAAGCAGCAGGAGGGTGAAACCCTGCACTAATGGGCTTAATGGAGAAGGTTAAAGTTTCTGCACTTACTAGCATGGTTAATGCTGATGTATTGTTGAGAGATCAGTTTGTGGAGCACATGTTAGATGGTCCCCTGCGGCGAGTCTTGAAGCAGTTTGTGCGAGAGAAGGCAACAGCTGCTCTACTTGGAGGTTAGGGCTGAGGCCGTTAGATGGGAACGGGAGGGCTTGTCAGGTGATTGTAGGGCTCGGAGCCTCTCAGTTCCATCAATGGGGTTTCAGTATGTGGTTCAGGGCTGTTCTCAGGATAGTTCAAAGGGTCAGAGCTGAAAGATCTGCGTGGAATGTTGGTTCGACAGCAAGAGCAATTGAATCAACTCACTCAGAGTGTTGCCTTGCTTAGTCAACCTCGCCCACAGAATCGTCCCCCTCGTAACTTCCCTGCGGTCTGTAGAAGATGCCAACAGCCAGGACATTATGCTAGAGAATGTGATGGTGTACATGCCCCTTCTTGTCCTCAAGCCACCGGCCCTCAGCAGCTCCCTAGCACCCTGCCTAGGGTCGGTCACACTGACATCAATTCAAAGATTGAGAGCAGTTTAAATATTTTATAAGCCTACACTGTAAAAAAAATGTCCATAAAAATTTGCAGAATGTCCTGATATTCTCCGTATTTTAACGGACATTTTTGTAAATCATAAAATGGATTTTCTCTGTAATTTAACAGATTTTTATATACAATTTACTTACATTTCTGTTAATAAAAAAAGGATTATTCCGTATTTTTTGCAGTATATTTTTCATATATTAAAAAACATTTCTGTTGTTTAAAAACTGAAACTTCTGTAAAAAAAAAAAAAAAAAAAAAAAAAAAAAAAACAGAAAATGTCCTGGTCATTTTCTTGCCAGGACATTTTCCGTTTTTTATGGACATTTCTATAAACCGTAAAATGAAATTTTCCTGTAATTTAACAGATTGTTATGTCCAATTTATGTACATTTCTGTCAATAATAAAAAAAAATCTGATAACTCTGTATTTTTACAGTATATTTTCTGGTTAATTCACAAACACTGATATTTAAAAAACAGACATTTCCTTATTTTTACAGTATATTTACTGGTCAATTCAACACTTTTTTGTTTAAAAATCCAAGTATATTTTCCTCTTTTTTTAATCAATGGTTGTAAGTATGAAGTTCATTGTGTCTATATGATCAATCTTATAACTCTTTCCTAATTACTAAACACTTTGTTATTTTTATGTCTTTACAGACATACCTGACATGTTTCGATGAGTACTTCCATCGTCAGGTGTCAAAGCTGATGTATGGAAGCGACATCAGCTTTGACACCTCTGATGAAGATGGAAGTACTCGTCGAAACATGTCAGGTATGTCTGTAAAGACATAAAAATAACAAAGTGTTTAGTATTGAGATTTTAATCGGTTTTACTTAGTTTTTCTCCTGTTAATAACTACAGTAATTTATCTGCTTATAGTTTTTAAAATAAGTAATGCATCTCATGTAATTTGACTTAGATGACATTTCACGTCACAGTGTGCCGTACAAAGAACTATTGGAAAAACACGTTTGGTGATCGGGGTCAGGTCCAGTTTCCTCGCCCACTTACTGTGCAAATGTGTCAGGCTGACATCCAAACCCTGTGCAGGTTGCTCATAAATTACATAAGAATGAGGCTTCAGTATAAAATGTCAAGAGTTACAGAAGTTAGACGAGACGCTTGACGATCAAAGGGAAGTATCGGTCTAATGTTCTCCCAGATTTGCAAATCTGTTTGGTGGGTTTTTACATGTAATCTTTAATAAATTCTGTGTTAATTTTCTCAAAGGTTGTCTCCTTTTGATCCATCCAGAATCAAAAGGATCCGGTGAAGAGTTTTATCTTAAATAAAAAAGGAAAAAAAATTGTATAGGTCCTCTGGACGGGTTCTTCTTTAATGAAACGT